CTAGCTAGCTAACACTGAGCAAATACTGATAGGAAACAGCCATGGAAATATATACTCTGTATCTTGCCATTTAGCTAAGTTAGGCACTGACAACATGACATATCAAATGTTTGGCTGCGAGTTACATGTAAAATGCAGTGTTGCAATTGCATCTCTCTGAGGCTGATTGCATGACTTCAATAACTCCTGCATCAAATTTGTCACTGATGCGTTTCAATGGGCCAGCATCTGTCAGATTCATGTTTTGACAGATTGTATGCAGGTGCATAGTCTTGCATGGTTACCACATTTTTAGCAAAAAATAATAATAATTGGGCTTGACTGTTTTGCATGTTATTTTGGCATTAATACGTGTCACATATCAGTTTGCAAACAATGTAAAAAATATATATCATTGAGTTAATAAAGTCGCATATAAACATTGTTTCTTTTGTTTTCTTGAGCTCCAAAATGCAGGTGTTTCAGCCTAGCTCAGTGCTTTCTGTGGTGGTGGGGCAAGCCAGCAGAAAATACGTAGTGTTGCGCTGTGATTGGCTCAGTGTTCTGTCACTCATGGGGACACTACATCACTGCCAAGTCTAAGGGTAGACATCGACAATTCAAGCCCTTTGGATGCTGTCATAGAGTTACATTAGAAGTGCCCTTCCAAGAAGGCTCAAGGTCATTGGCCACAGATAAAATGACGTCAAATCACGTAGCTTTGATTGGACTGATCATGTCAACGTCTTACTTTCAAAATCTTAGCTAGCAGTCATCATCATGAATCAAGTCGACAATCTACTGGCAAATCCTTTTTAATCCTTGTCATATGAAGAGAAATAATGAAGAGAAATTATAGATAAAACGTATCGGTGCTCATCGGCCATTGGAACAAGTTGGAAATCGCAAATTCAACAATGAGTGGTTTGAAAGGAATCGGTGACAGTGGCTAACTGCAAGCATTGCAACTGGGAAGTCGGGAATAAACAAGCTCCGACTGGGAAAATACGTTTTGAACGGTCATCCAACTCGGAATTGTAAATCCGGCCTCTTTCAATTTCTTTGATGACAATATTTGCCCAAGAAGGACCGCCGCGCCACCTTTCTGTTCAAGTGAGCAAAGCACAACAAGGTGAGTCCAAAAATTTATTGTATGCTGCTGCATAAATTATGTAATATGCCAGGGAGATATGTATACTGTAGCTAAGAAAGTAATACTAAGTGTATGTTGTGTAGTAAGCTGTTAGTAGCCCATGTGCTTCACCCTAATAATTTGGTCTATTTTCACCTCTTAATTTCACCTACTGTTCTGAGTCGGTGGTGCACATGTAGCCTATAACCTGTTTTTGAGAAATGTAATCGAATATTGTAAGCACTTTCATTGTCTGCTTATATGCCCCCTTTATTTATCCTACGGTTCTGACTTGGTGTACAGGGAGAACACTGTAAGAGCGGCCCATGTTCTGAATTCTGTCGCTGTACATTTCAAAAGTGCTGAACAAATAGTTATATTGACTACGTCCATCCTAGCTCGCTCATTAATGTCTTAATCGAAATTACGGATTGCCTCTTATCCGCTTGTCGTCCCCTTATGCCATAGTTTGTACATCTCAATTGTCAGTAGAAACCACATTTGTTTAAGCAAGTCAGCCATATCAGCTATGTTTTTTTTAAAGGCAGTAAATGAGGCTGAATGTCACGCCCTGGCTCTGGGACTCTGTTATGTTGAGCCAGGGTGTGTAGTTTCTATGTGTTTGTGTTCTAGGTTCTTTATCTAGCTCATGTGTTTCTGTGTTGGCCGGGGTGGTTCTCAATCAGAGGCAACGAGTGTCAGCTGTTGCTTGTTGTCTCTGATTGGGAACCATACTTAGGCAGCCTGTTTTCCACAGTGTTTTGTGGGATCTTGTTCCGTGTTGGTTTTGTGTTGTAAACCAAGGACTTCACGTATCGTTTTGTTGTTTTGTTCGTGTGGGTGAATATAAATAAAAGTATGTTCGAATATCACGCTGCGCCTTGGTCCACTGTGTTTGACGATCGTGACACTGAATGAACTGTTTCGCTGCCAGACAAGGCTCTGCTGATAGCCAGTTGTAGCAGTGGTATAATGTTGGGACTGCAGTTGGGACAGCTTTATGTAGGCCCTAACAGTTTGTGGACACCGTTTGTCACCGTTATAATGCAATTAATTTATTGTTTAGTGTTGTGTTGTGTAGTGGCTTTGCTGGCATGCATCCCACTTATTTATTTTTTTGCCCCACCAAGATTTACATGTTAGAAGCGCCACTGGTTACCATTGTGGATCAACTACAGTGGGGAGAACAAGTATTTGATGCACTACCGATTTTGCAGGTTTTCCTACTTACAAAGCATGTAGAGGTCTGTAATTTTTATCATAGGTACACTTCAACTGTGAGAGACGGAATCAAAAAAAAAAATCCAGAACATCTAATTGTATGATTTTTAAGTAATTAATTTGCATTTTATTGCATGACAGAAGTATTTGATACATCAGAAAAGCAGAACTTAATATTTGGTACAGAAACCTTTGTTTGCAATTACAGAGATCATATGTTTCCTGTAGGTCTTGACCAGGTTTGCACACACTGCAGCAGGGATTTTGGCCCACTCCTCCATACAGACCTTCTCCAGATCCTTCAGGTTTCGGGGCTGTCGCTGGGCAATATGGACTTTCAGCTCCCTCCAAAGATTTTCTATTGGGTTCAGGTCTGGAGACTGGCTAGGCCACTCCAGGACCTTGAGATGCTTCTTACGGAGCCACTCCTTAGTTGCCCTGGCTGTGTGTTTCGGGTCGTTGTCATGCTGGAAGACCCAGCCACGACCCATCTTCAATGCTCTTACTGAAGGAAGGAGGTTGTTGGCCAAGATCTCGCGATACATGGCCCCATCCATCCTCCCCTCAATACGGTGCAGTCGTCCTGTCCCCTTTGCAGAAAAGGATCCCCAAAGAATGATGTTTCCACCTCCATGCTTCACGGTTGGGATGGTGTTCTTTGGGTTGTACTCATCCTTCTTCTTCCTCCAAACACGGCAAGTAGAGTTTAGACCAAAAAACTATATTTTTGTCTCATCATACCACATGACCTTCTCCCATTCCTCCTCTGGATCATCCAGATGGTCATTGGCAAACTTCAGACGGGACTGGACATGCGCTGGCTTGAGCAGGGGGACCTTGCGTGCGCTGCAGGATTTTAATCCATGACGGCGTAGTGTGTTACTAATGGTTTTCTTTGAGACTGTGGTCCCAGCTCTCTTCAGGTAATTGACCAGGTCCTGCCGTGTAGTTCTGGGCTGATCCCTCACCTTCCTCATGATCATTGAAGCCCCACGAGGTGAGATCTTGCATGGAGCCCCAGACCGAGGGTGATTGACCGTCATCTTGAACTTCTTCCATTTTCTAATAATTGCGCCAACAGTTGTTGCCTTCTCACCAAGATGCTTGCCTATTGTCCTGTAGCCCATCCCAGCCTTGTGCAGGTCTACAATTGTATCCCTGATGTCCTTACACAGCTCTCTGGTCTTGGCCATTGTGGAGAGGTTGGAGTCTGTTTGATTGAGTGTGTGGACAGGTGTCTTTTATACAGGTAACGAGTTCAAACAGGTGCAGTTAATACAGGTAATGAGTGGAGAACAGGAGGGCTTCTTAAAGAAAAACTAACAGGTCTGTGAGAGCCGGAATTCTTACTGGTTGGTAGGTGATCAAATACTTACAGTGGGGAAAAAAAGTATTTAGTCAGCCACCAATTGTGCAAGTTCTCCCACTTAAAAAGATGAGAGAGGCCTGTAATTTTCATCATAGGTACACGTCAACTATGACAGACAAAATGAGAAAAAAAATTCCAGAAAATCACATTGTAGGATTTGTAATGAATTTATTTGCAAATTATGGTGGAATATAAGTATTTGGTCAATAACAAAAGTTTCTCAATACTTTGTTATATACCCTTTGTTGGCAATGACACAGGTCAAACGTTTTCTGTAAGTCTTCACAAGGTTTTCACACACTGTTGCTGGTATTTTGGCCCATTCCTCCATGCAGATCTCCTCTAGAGCAGTGATGTTTTGGGGCTGTCGCTGGGCAACACGGACTTTCAACTCCCTCCAAAGATTTTCTATGGGGTTGAGATCTGGAGACTGGCTAGGCCACTCCAGGACCTTGAAACGCTTCTTACGAAGCCACTCCTTCGTTGCCCGGGCAGTGTGTTTGGGATCATTGTCATGCTGAAAGACCCAGCCACGTTTCATCTTCAAACAGGTGCCATTAATACAGGTAACGAGTGGAGGACAGAGGAGCCTCTTAAAGAAGAAGTTACAGGTCTGTGAGAGCCAGAAATCTTGCTTGTTTGTAGGTGACCAAATACTTATTTTCCACCATAATTTGCAAATAAATTCATTAAAAATCCTACAATGTGATTTTCTGGATTTTTCTGATTTGTCTGTCATAGTTGACGTGTACCTATGATGAAAATTACAGGCCTCTCATCTTTTTAAGTGGGAGAACTTGCACAATTGGTGGCTGACTAAATACTTTTTTTCCCCACTGTATGTCATGCAATAAAATGCAAACAATGTGATTTTCTGGATTTTTGTTTTAGATTCCGTCTCTCACAGTTGAAGTGTACCTATGATAAAAATTACAGACCTCTACATGCTTTGTAAGTAGGAAAACCTGCAAAATCGGCAGTGTATCAAATGCTTGTTCTCTCCACTGTATCTGTCTGTAAACATGGCTGCATATAAAAACGCATTTTACAACTGATCTGAATTTATTTTTGTATTGATTTTGTGCAGAATTAAACTCTGCAATAGCTATTTACCACACGACTTTCATATAATAGTAGCCATATTCATGAACTGTCCTCTTTCATCAAGACCCTTTATAGGGGTTTAAACAGAGATTTTAGGTTAGGCAATTTCTCAACATAATGGCTAGGGTTTTATCTATTTTATGGTGTGGCATGAAAACAAATCAGTGGACCTTCTCTCACTCTCATCATCTTACCATGACCCATCTCTCCACCCCCTCAGAGAATGGAGAGGAAACCGAGAAGGTTCAGAGAAAGGCCAAGCCCAAATCTCGCCCCATCAAAACTACAATAGGGAACAACCAACACCAGCAAATACTTCCACAAGGCTCCAGTGAAAGAGGAGTCTGCTGATATGACTCCTGAGAGTGATATCATCCCTCCTTTTATAAGAGCTAGGATATACATGTATACCGTAAAGCCTGGGAAAAAATAAGAGGATGAAGACTGGGAGGACGTGTAAAATGTGAAAGGAATGAACACTAGTTTTGCTTGCACAATGTTTGTTTACATCACATGTAGGTCTGTGTAGATTAGTGTTCTCTGTATGTAAGCCTATGATGGCTCTGGTCCTTACTCTGTGTGTGTGGCCATGTGATATTGTTGTCTGTCCTCAGAGCTGGCTGAGCCCTTAGGTCCAGTGGAACCAGTAGAGCCAGCTCTGCCCTCACAGCCTGTGGAGATAGAGATTGAGACCCTAGACATCATCCGCAAAAGGCAGAAAAGTTGAGAGATGGTGAAAGATACCATGTTAGCACTGGCAGTCCGTGTATTTGTGTGTACTCCTTTGGAAAAGCAAGTGCTCCATCCTAGATAATACTGTCAGAGACTAGGATAATTGGTCATTTTTCCAAGATGGAAATATGAATCAATCAATCACCATGACAACTCTGGTAGTAAACCACATGACTCCAGGGAGAAGAGGAAGGCAGAGTTTGAGACCTATCTGCGACGCATGATGAACCGCTTCAACAAAGATGTGGTGGAGGACACACACAAGGTGAGCACACACGCACACCCCCCACACACACCCACACACACAAACATGTAGTGTAAGGACCTCCACATGGCCTGCCTCACAGACTGTCATGCTGCGTTCACCTGATCACAGAATGGCTGTCAACCATTTTCCGCATGTTCTCTTCTCATCCGAACACTGTATTCTTACGATACAGATGATTAACATCTCTCCAATAGGTCCACCTCGTGTCTTCTAGCCAATGGGATGTTCCGGAATCGGTTGTGTAGTGAACCAGATCTGCTGGCTATCGCCCTCTCTCTGCTGCCCACCCACTTTACCATGGTGGCCAAGGAACGCATTGACACCAACTACCCCTCTGGCCTGCTCAACTGGCGAGAAGGGCCTTCAATTTGTGTGTGTGACTTTAATTGTGTGGAAACCTTTGTCTCTGCTTATTCCTTGTAGCATGCTAAACTATGTTTACCGTTCTTAACACCTGACTCATTTAATCATACCTGGCTATGTTGTTAAGTCTGTGTTGTTCTTTGTAATTGATCCTGTTTGATGTCGTCCTTCGCTCCAGGTTTGGGGCAAAGTTCACGCTGAACCCAGATCTTTCCTGTGAGGAGAGGCTAGAACCACAGGCCATGCTGGAGAGGAGGCTGGGCAGTCTCACCGCTAGAGACCAGGAAATGACACATGTGAGTGACATGTATCCTGCACACTGAAGGCACCTTGCAGAAACTTTTGTGCATGTTCGTCTGTAGCATTTTTTTTTTTAAACTGCAAATGGAGTATGTTTGTGAGGGAGGACCATATTGTTTTGAACAGGTCGGGCTCTTATGGTATGACTTGTTCTCTATAGAGAGTAATCAGGCCTAACTTTGTTTGCCTTGATGGTACTCAACTGAAGCCTGTTTCCTTTGTCTTACCTGCATGATGTAACCTTGACCTCTGACCCCTGCGCTTGTGTCTGTTTCCTCCAGCTGTTTCTGTTGGTGTTTAGGTCGTTGCAGCTCTTGTCGACTGGTGCTCTCTCTGCAGCCCTTGTCACTGAAGCCCCCCATCAGCCAAGGTACAGCCTGACTGAAGGCTTTTGGGTCATTCCACGAAATGATTGCCTTTTGCATCCCTTTGATATTTTAAGTAGACATTGTGCACCAATATTGGATTTTAAAATCCTGTTATATTAAATGAAGTGCCCTTTAATATAGACCACATGGAGTATTCAATAAATCAGATTTTTTATATGAATAAAGACTTGCTAAAGTGCCAAAATCCCGCATTTTGACACGTCCCTCCGTGAACCCTCTGTGACTTCTAGGAAGATTTTAACCCACTTAACCCCAACATTACTCCAAGTTTCACCATTATTGTAAAGCCATAATTATTTGTTGCTTTGACAGTCATTTCTCAAGATTATTATTTATTTAATCTGATTTAGTTATTAATTTACGTCTGTCCCTCATTTTAAGGTCAACTCAGTTATGTGAACTGAACTCTCATTTTAATGTGGTGAAGCTATTCCTTTTAAAGTATTTTTTAAACATCTATTAGTCAAACGATAGTGTAAAAGCAGGTGAACTGGTTCTACACTTTTTTTGACCATGTTCTGATGTTTTGTGGTGGAAAAAATGTCAACCCTGTGTTACCTATAGATAGACAGTATGTCACGATCGTTGACACATGATGAAGCGGACCAAGGCGCAGCGTGATAGGCGTACATACTTTTAATGAGTACTTTACATCCACAACAAACGATACGTGAAGTCCTAGGTTAAATACACAAACCTTCCGGAACAAGATCCCACAAATGACAAGTGCCAACAGGCTGCCTAAGTATGGTTCCCAATCAGAGACAACGAGAATCAGCTGCCTCTGATTGGGAACCACCCTGGCCAACATAGAAAACACGAACTAGAACACAACATAGAAAATAACACATAGAAACTCCACACCCTGGCTCAACATATAAGAGTCCCCAGAGCCAGGGCGTGACAGTACCCCCCCCCCAAAGGCTCGGACTGCGACCGCGCCAACCAAACCCAACAGGGGAGGGGCCGGGTGGGCATTCCGCCTCGGAGGCGGATCCGGCTCCGGGCGTGACCACCACTCTCTCGCTACCCCCCCGTAGCGCCCCTGGTCTGGTCTGGCCCCGCTGGCCGGAGCTGGACTGGACACCGGTGGAGCGGATTGCTCAGGCTCCGGTGTGGAGCAGCTGACCGGTGCCTGACCAGGCACCGGTGGAGCAGGCACGGGCTGTGCCGGACTGACGACGCGCACCACTGGCTTGGTGCGGGGAGCAGGAACAGGCCGGACCGGGCTGGCGACGCGCACCACTGGCTTGGTGCGGGGAGCAGGAACGGGCCGGACCGGGCTGACGACGCGCACCACTGGCTTGGTGCGGGAATCAGGAACGGGCCGGACCGGACTGGTAACACACCCCAGTACCTCTCGCCGTGCCTCTACACTCTCCTTCTCCCTCGTGAACAGTGGCCCCACGTAACCTGGCGGCCTCCTCTGCAAACCTGCCGAACCGCTCTATCGCGGCCTCCCGCTGCCTCGCCGTCCACGGTGTGAGCCCCCCACTAAAACATTTTTGGGCTTGTCTCTCCCCCGTGCTCATGGCCTCCATCCCTCTTGCCAGACTCTCACTCATCTCCTCCCAGGTCCATCCTCTCTCCTCGTCACGCTGCTTGATCCAGTCGAGGTGGGATCTTCTGTCATGATCGTCGTAAGAAGCGGACCAAGGCGCAGCGTGATAGGCGTACATATTTTATTGAACGTACTCACACGAACAAAAACAACAAACCAATAAACGATACGTGAAGTCCTAAGGTTAACAAAACACAAACCTCTCCGGAACAAGATCCCACAAATGACAAGTGCCAACAGGCTGCCTAAGTATGGTTCCCAATCAGAGACAACGAGAATCAGCTGCCTCTGATTGGGAACCACCCTGGCCAACATCGAAAACACGAACTAGAACACAACATAGAAAATAACACATAGAAACTCCACACCCTGGCTCAACATATAAGAGTCCCCAGAGCCAGGGCGTGACACAGTAGTGGTGGAAAAAGTACCCAACTGTCATACTTGAGTAAAAGTAAAGATACCTTAATAGAAAATGACTCAAGTAAAAGACACCCAGTAAAATACTACTTGAGTAAAAGTAAAAGTATTTGGTTTTAAATATACTTAAGTATCAAAAGTAAAAGTATTAATTATTTCAAATTCCTTCCTCTGTTGTCATGTGACATCCTTTTTTTTTTTTTTTTACGGGTAGCCAGGAGCACACTCCAACACTCAGACATTAATTTACAAACAAAGCATTTGTGTTTAGTGAGTCCGCCAGATAAGAGAGAGTAGGGAAGACCAGAGATGTTCTGTATACATGTGCGTGAATTGGTCAATTTTCCTGTCAAAATGTAACAACAACTTTTGGGTGTCAGGGAAAATGTATGGAGTAAAAAGTACATTATTTTCTTTAGGAATATAGTGAAGTAAAAGTTGTCCAAAATATAAATAGTAAAGTAGAGTACAGATACCCAAAAAAACTACTTACTTATTTTACACCACTGATAGACAGGCTAGAAATGTTTTAACGATTATTTTTTTGGGGTGAAACTTACTTTCAATTGCCCCTCCTGTTGCACACAACAAACTTCCATTCCCCCTGTCACAATGAGATTAATGGCTGTTTTAAGATAAAATCGTCAACCCATTACTGTATTTGGCACTTAATAGGCACTTATTATAGTCTTTTTATTTTATTTAACCTCTTGAGATGGGAAAACGTTTTTTATGAAGTTGAACATGTGCACTTTATGATAGACTGTTAAAATTAGGTGAAATCAAAAGTTACACTACTCAAAAGGCACCCAATCTGTGGAACAACCCTTTTATTTGTTAGTGTGCTTGTGTTCATTGGGGTTGTATGTGTACACTTGTTAAAGTTCACAGGCTCTGTGTGTGTCCTTATCTGATCCAAATATATTCCTCATAGCAAGGCCAATAACTCAGGTAGCCTGCCTGGGAAGAGTCCCTTGCAGAAGAAACCTCCCAAAGAGAGCCTCTCAGAGCCCAAGGTCTCCCCAGGGACCAAAATACCATCAGGGGGGAAGGGCGAGAAAGAAAGGAAGAAGGCAAAAAAGAAAGAGGCAGGGGAGACTGAGACAGGTTTGTCAGTGGGACAGAAACCCAATATCTCCAAGTGCCACAGCATATCCTTGAAGGTGAGCTACAAAGAGAGCAGTGAAAGGGAGGGACCCAGTGATGGGGAGGAGTTACAGCTGACCAATGAGGAGGACAGCGAGGCATCTGAGGAGCCAAAGCCATCAGGGCCAAGAAAGGGAAAGGAGGCAAGAGAAAGGCCAAGAGTTCAGCTCTACAGAGAAGAAGTAGTGGAGGCAAGAAGAAAGTGAAGAGTGAGGAGGAAGATGGGGGGGCGGAGGAAGAGCAGGGGATGAAGCCGGGCAGGAGGAAGGTGGGGAAGGGTGAAGACGAGTGGCTGAAGGTCTACCTGGAGAAGGCTGGGTGTGTGTGGACGTGGTGCAGGGGGTGGGGCAGCCTCCGCTGTTCTCCAAGCAGGTCACCCAGCCCATGACCTACGTGGTAGCCGTGGATGGGGACAGTCACCTGAAGGATCTGGGCAGCAAGTACGACCCCACCTGGATGACCTCCACCAGAAAGCGCCAGGTGGACGAGGAGTGGTGGGAAGTGACGAATCTGAGAGAGACATCCAGGAGGATAAAGAGGTGAGAATGAGACGCACATCCACACACCTTCATTTATACAGCTTGTCATATACACTCCTCTCTCTGTGCTCTAGCTCCAGGGGAAGATGCTGGACAAGCCGTTACCAACATCAATAGCAGAGTTCAAAAACCACCCCTGTATGCCCTGAAGAGACATCTACTGAGATATAAAGCCCTCTAACCCCCCCCCAGCAGCGATCCTGGGGTACTGCAGGGGAGAGCCCGTCTACTCCAGGTAAGCAGCACACATAACAGGGATTTAGTTTAGTTCGTTTATTAGTTTTTTCATAACTGATTTTGAATGCAAAGCATTAGATAGAGGGCTGTTTAAAAGTATAATGTTGTTTCAAAGCAGAGTTAATGGAAATGTATTATCGTGGTATTCGTAGAGTTTGTGTTTGGTATCCAAAACAAATGTATATTTTTTTGATTGTGAAAAGTCATGAGAAATACAGTAGTACCTATTTGCATCTGGGTTATCCACAGGGACTGTATTCACGCACTACACTCCAAAAACACATGGCTGAAGGAGGCACGCACCTTCCGTCTAGGAGAGGAGCCCTACAAGGTGAGCAGTCGTATTCATTAGGGCACACTGTAGCAAAACCCTCTCTCTCCCCCACACACTCTCTCAACCTCTCCTTTCTTCTCTCTCTCTCTCTCTCTCTCTCTCTCTCTCTCTCTCTCTGTCTCTCACTCACTCTCTCTCTCTCTCTCTCTCCCACACACACTCTCAACCTCTCTCTCTCTCTCTCAGATGGTGATAGGGTGTTCGAATCACTCTCGGAAGGCCAGGATGGTGTCAGAGCAGAAGGACAAAGATGCCCTGCCTCTGTTTGGTGAATGGCAGACAGAGGAGTACAGCCACCGGTAACTGTAGATGGCAGGGTATAATTACTTTCTAATAAAACTGTGTGTGTGTGGGTCAACTGTATACAGTGAGGGAAAAAAGTCTTTGATCCCCTGCTGATTTTGTACGTTTGCCCACTGACAAAGAAATGATCAGTCTATAATTTGAATGGTAGGTTTATTTGAACAGTGAGAGACAGAATAACAACAAAAAAATCCAGAAAAACGCATGTCAAAAATGTTATAAATTGATTTCCATTTTAATGAGGGAAATGAGTATTTGACCCCCTCTCAATCAGAAAGATTTCTGGCTCCCAGGTGTCTTTTATACAGGTAACGAGCTGAGATTAGGAGCACACTCTTAAAGAGTGCTCCTAATCTCAGCTCGTTACCTGTATAAAAGACACCTGTCCACAGAAGCAATCAATCAATCAGATTCCAAACTCTCCACAATGGCCAAGACCAAAGAGCTCTCCAATGATGTCAGGGACAAGATTGTAGACCTACACAAGGCTGGAATGGGCTACAAGACCATCGCCAAGCAGCTTGGTGAGAAGGTGACAAAAGTTGGTGCGATTATTCGCAAATGGAAGAAACACAAAAGAACTGTCAATCTCCCTCGGCCTGGGGCTCCATGCAAGATCTCACCTCGTGGAGTTGCAATGATCACGAGAACGGTGAGGAATCAGCCCAGAACTACACGGGAGGATCTTGTCAATGATCTCAAGGCAGCTGGGACCATAGTCACCAAGAAAACAATTGGTAACACACTACGCCGTGAAGGACTGAAATCTTGAAGCGCCCGCAAGTTCCCCCTGCTCAAGAAAGCACATATACATGCCTGTCTGAAGTTTGCCAATGAACATCTGAAGGATTCAGAGGATAACTGGGTGAAAGTGTTGTGGTCAGATGAGACCAAAATGGAGCTCTTTGGCATCAACTCAACTCGCCGTGTTTGGAGGAGGAGGAATGCTGCCTATGACCCCAAGAATACCATCCCCACCGTCAAACATGGAGGTGGAAACATTATGCTTTGGGGGTGTTTTTGTGCTAAGGGGACAGGACAACTTCACCGCATCAAAGGGACGATGGACAGGGCCATGTACCGTCAAATCTTGGGTGAGAACCTCATTCCCTCAGCCAGGGCATTGAAAATGGGTCGTGAATGGGTATTCCAGCATGACAATGACACAAAACACACGGCCAAGGCAACAAAGGAGTGGCTCAAGAAGAAACACATTAAGGTCCTGGAGTGGCCTAGCCAGTCTCCAGACATTAATCCCATAGAAAATCTGTGGAGGGAGCTGAAGGTTCGAGTTGCCAAACGTCAGCCTCGAAACCTTAATGATTTGGAGAAGATCTGCAAAGAGGAGTGGGACAAAATCCCTCCTGAGATGTGTGCAAACCTGGTGGCCAACTACAAGAAACGTCTGACCTCTGTGATTGCCAACAAGGGTTTTGCCACCAAGTACTAAGTCATGTTTTGCAGAGGGGTCAAATACTTATTTCCCTCATTAAAATGCAAATCAATTTATAACATTTTAAAAAATATGTTTTTCTGGATTTTGTTGTTGTTATTCTGTCTCTCACTGTTCAAATAAACCTACCATTAAAATTATAGACTGATCATTTCTTTGTCAGTGGGCAAACGTACAAAATCAGCAGGGGATCAAATACTTTTTTCCCTCACTGTATTGCAGTGTATTAACCATTGAGTTAAGTGTATGCTTGTTTTCTCCAGGTGCCTCGTAATGACTTTGGCAACGTGTTCCTGTTCAAGCCCTGCATGTTGCCAGTTGGCTGTGTCCATCTTCAACTGCCAAACCTCAACAGAGTGGCTAAGAAGCTGGACATGGACTGTGCCTCTGCTGTCACTGGCTTTGACTTCCATCATGGTGGCTACTTTCATGCTGTGTACGTTTTTCAATGCTTGTGTGCCTGTGTGTGCACATGACTTGTTGGGGAATTGTTTGTTTCTGACATGTATGCTGGTGTTACATAGTATGTTTCTGTGTGTTTATTTTCTAGAACGGATGGCTACATTGTGTGTGAGGAGCATGAGGAGATCCTGAGAGCAGCTTGCGTGGAAGACCAAGAGATCCAGAGATAAAGGAGAACAAGGTGAGTTATAGTGTGTTATATTAATCCCATCTTTATGGAGGTGTCTTTTTTAAACATGTACTACAGTGTGGTACAGACATAATGTTTGTTAGGTTAGTGCTGCTCATATTTTGTTCACATGTATCTTATGTGTCTTGTGTGTGTTTTCCAGAAGCAGGAAAAGAGGGCAGTGTCTAACTGGACTCTGCTGGTGACGGCCCTGCTGATCAGGGAGACACTCCAGCGGTGCTATGGGATGAAAGGCCCAACAGCCGGAAGAAGGACTGGACCAACTGAATGGGGATAGGGGGGGACAGGGTCTGTCGTCTGAAGAGGAGGGGGAGGGTGGGCCAAACATGGCTGCTGCCACACTGGCACAGACCTGGCCCCAGAACAGACAGGAGCAGGACAGTGGCACGGGGGGACCAAACGGGAGAAAAGGGGCCAGCAAAATCACCTTTTCCCATTTGAGAAAGTATGAGATGAGTTCATCCAACCCAACTGTCTCTGACTCTCATACAGTTGTGTTCTTCATGTTGCCAGAACAGATCACGGCCCATATTCACAAAGTGTTTCATTGCTGATCTAGGATCTGTTTTGCCTTTTAGATCATAATGAATAAGATTACATGGACGGGGGAACCTGATCCTAAATCAGCACTCCTACTTGAAGACACTTTATGAATATGGGCCCAGAAGTAGGTCAGACAGACAGGTGTCATAACGACACTAGTGTTTCGTGATGCTCTGTTCTCGGTTCCTGATGTGTTACAGGAGATGTAGGTCATTGTAATCCCCGTGGACCAAGACCTACAAAGCAGCCTGGCACAAACTCAAACCTGCACTGCTGCAGGTGGTGGAACCTCAATGTAAACTGATTCCCTTTTTTCACACACCTCCCCCCGTTACACTCCTATCTCTCTAGAGAGAAAAAGCTGCTGCTGGTGTGTACGTTGGTACGGGCACGTAAATGGGGGAGCTCAGTTGTTTGTCTCTAATCTATATTGGTAGACATAATATTTTTGTATCAAAAACATGAAAATAAAAAATTTCACACAGTATTGTTGTTATATTACAACTGATGGAGTATTAAAAGAATAGAAATGAATAGCAAATATTTTGGGACACATTAGTTTGACCCAAATGGAAGCGTTGACTCATGCATTTGTCTCATTATCAAGTTGCCCACAAGATCAATTTCATCATCTGAGCACAGACATTTATTTTGTGAATCATATTCTGTCTCATAGCAACAGTCTGTTTTATCCTTGATAAAAGGATAAATGGAGCCAATCAGAGATTGAGAGTCAGAGACAAGGATTACCCAGGAGGTCAGGGCTTCCCATCATGAGCCAAGGACCGCCACACAGCCAAGAATTCACTCTCAGTTCTACAAAGGCATCAGAGCTTGAAATATATTCCCAGCTACTCAGAGAAAATAGTGGAAGAGTGTTGTTGTTGATTTCTGCCAGAAGTTGTTTAAACCAGACTGATCTCATGTCTGTGTTTTCCGCATGTAGGTTATTTATTTTTTCCATTGCATTACTTTTGTTAATGCCCTGTTGATGCAGTGCAGTCTGACCAGAGACAGTTCTTAAAATGTCACCAAACTATGTTTCATTGTGTCTATGGACTTCTCCTACTTGTCAGAAGATTGTATTGGTATTAAAAGATGGGGAAATGATTAAAATGTAGATTCATTTGTTAGTTCACCAGAAACTACCGTCAGAAAGTCTATTTCCGTTTGGGTTCCGCCTTGAAGAAGAGAACTGTCCAATGGGTGTCATAGCTGCGACACGGAAGTGACGTAATTGTGAATATTCGTGTACTTCCCGTCTTCTGCTTAACAGGGGTGCTGATCAGGAATTGGTTCTGTTTTGTAAAACCAGGTTTGGTTTCAATTGCAAGGCGAACCAACGCAGTCCGGAAGGTAAGTGAAGACCGCAGTACTTGGTGGGAAGGTATATGCTAATGGTAAGGTGGAGTAGTTTGTTAACGAGACCCAGACGGCCTTGTTTATATGCCAATCCCCGGACTAGAGTGTGAGAGGCGGTTGCGAGGGGGGTCCAGCGACTCGTTAGCTAGCTAGCTAACTATCAGCTGTGGATAATTCCAGGTGGAACAATGGCACAGCTGTTTTTCCTACCTCGTCAAGGATATCGTATTTGATGGATTATTAAAATAATGAGTTGGAAAACTGATTGTGTGTTAACCTCCAGTGTATTACTATTATGTTGCTAACTAACGTTAACTAAACAGCAACGTTAATGTGTAGCACCCTAAGTGAGGGAGGATTGAATGCTCTGGATTTTAAAACCTCTAATATAATATTTAAGATAAAATGGATACAAAACTACTAAATAAATATTTAATAATTTAGTATTGCATTTAGAAACTAATCCCTAATTAAATATTCCAACAGATTGGTTGTCTATAGAGTTTTTACTCAACTGCAACTTTGATGTGGGTAAGATCCATATTAAGCTTGCTAACTTTAATAAACAAGTGCTTCTAATTTGGAACCTCATGTACAAACAACTTTTTCCCACAGAGATATACATTCTGGAATAATGAAGACAAAAAAAAAGAAGTGTTTTTCCAGAACTGGTTTGACAACGGCATTATCTGTGTTAAACAATTGTTGAATAACGATGGACAACTATATGATTGTCCAGAATTCATGAGAACACACGATGTTACATTCACTCCTGAGGAGTTTCAAATAGTTGTTAGAGCTGTCCCTAAAGGTGCTATTCTTCATTAAGGCTAATATAACAGTACTCCGAGTGTAACTGTTGAGGATTTTGTAGCCTCAATTCAGTTAGAAGGAATTTACATTTTAAACTATAAATGTAATATATACACAGTGCCTTCGGAAAGTGTTCAGACCCCTTGACTTTTTCCACATTTGTTACGTTATTGAACTACATCAAGGTGCTTTTGAGATTGCAAGTCATTAGTTGGCTAAATAATCCTGTTTTTGGTTATTATGGCTAGCTAGACTGTGCGTCACGCGGCTGCTCCTGTGTCTACTGTCTTACCGCCTTGTCTGTACTGTAAAACATTGTCATGTAGCTAATCCTTTAAACTGCTGCATTAAGCTGCTACTCATGCTTTGTATCCCACACGTGTTCACTTACTGTTTGTCTAATATGCAGTACAACTAAAAGAAAGTCCTAGGGGTAATGGAAGATCTTAAGAGTAAATCTGAAGCTTTGGTTGGAGAGAAGTTTTACTGGATCTCTACTCAGTGAATCACACAAGTGGCAGGGTATTAGAGCAGACTACTCTGTCTTGTCTTGTGCAAAGAGAGACCTTTACTGGAGTACAACTTACATTGATCTAAGTACAGAAGATTCAGATGAATGAACACCATGCCTGGCAAGCCATCTCGCGTCCCTGACCCAGTGTTCTTCTATATCATAGAACTTATTGTCCTTATAAAGCTCTTCAAAGTAAAACTCAACCATTATCTGTTTTTTTTCTCCAACTAAACCACTACTAAACCCTTTCCCCTTTCATCTCTCCCTCCCTCCTCTTCTACAGTTCTTCGTCTCCTCTCAGACCATCCACCTTGTCGGTTCCTCATGAAAGACGGGGAGTGTAACTTCTTCTGCTTCTTCCGTTGCTGCTGAGTGGTGTCGGGCTAGTCTGTGGAACAGTGTCCTCTGGGAGCTGTAGTTCCCCCGGTGGCGCTGACGGACGGAGAGCTGTCAGTCAGTCCCAGAGAGAGAGAGAGGGAGAGAGAGAGGCTCTGCCGGGGAATGTCTGTGGACATGAACAGCCAGGCCTCTGACAGCAATGAGGATGACTTTGGGGTCAACTCGGAGGAGGAGGAGGATGATGACGGGGGTGACGATGAGGACCAGGGGGACATAGCGGACTACTACGACGGCGTGGCCGGAGACATGGAGCAGCAGGGGGCCGACTCGTTCGACCCAGAGGAGTACCAGTTCACCTGCCTCACCTACAGGGAGAGCCAGAAGGTGCTCTGCGAGGAGGTCAACAGTTTCGCCGCCATCCTGAAGGTTGGTGTTGTGCTAGTCTGTGGGGTAGTTGAGGTAGATGTTACCATTAACCACAGATCTAGGATCAGATTACCATTCCCTCAATCATAACTGTAATGATTAGGGGTGTGAAAATATCTGACCCTAGGTTAGAGGACATGCATGATTCATTCGCATCAGAACGGGTGTGCTTTAACCCAAATTAAATGGGGAACTGAAATATCAGACCAAATCAGTGGCAGGGTCACATGATATCTAGGTATGAGGTCCTTATCGTTCCTGTCTCAGTAATGATCAGTTTGAAGAAGTATGTCAATGAAGGTAGTTGAAGATAAGGGTGTGCTCACTGCTGGGAACAGCTGTATTGACACGCTCGCTTCTCCTGATGCTTATGCTCCTCTCTTTGGACAGATTTTACCTGCTGTAGCCAAACTGATCCTTGTGCATTTTCACTGGCAAGTGTCACAAATACTGGACAGGTAAACACACACATGCATTGGCATACTCACTCACTTGTGTTTTCATACACATGCATTGCAAATATTCTGATATACTGGTACTCATTTTATTTTGCCTTTCAGATACAAGTCCAACTCATCACAGTTGCTGTCTGAGGCCCAGGTCCAGCCCAGCAGCACCTGCAGATCAGTTCCTGTAAGAATTAAGAGTGCTCTTTTGTCTGGTGTGTGTGTGTGTGTGTAATGTATTTGGGTAAAGTTAAAGGTGGTATCAGGAAAGGCAAGGAGACTCAATGTTCCAGTTGTGTAGGTGGTCTGAACTGCTCCGCGGGCCACCAACTAAAGGGTTACTGACCAGATATGGCCCTTGGGCCACCATTTGAGTATCACTGGTGTGTAATATTGGTGTTTATAAACTGGGTGGTTTGAGCCCTGAATCCTGATTGGCTGAAAGCCGTGGTATATTAGACCGTATACCACAGGTATGAAAAAACATTTATTTTACTGCTCTAATTACGTTGGTAACCAGTTTATAGAGATCCTGGTTCCAATCCAGGCTCTGTCGTAGCCGGCCGCGACCGGGAGACCCATTGGGCGGCGCACAATTGGCCCAGCGTCGTCCAGGGTAGGGGAGGGAATGGCCGGCAGGGATGTAGCTCAGTTGGTAGAGCATGGCGTTTGCAACGCCAGGGTTGTGGGTTCGATTCCCACGGGGGCCCAGTATAAAAACAATAAAAAATGTATGCACGCACTAACTGTAAGTCGCTCTGGATAAGAGCCAATATACCACAGCTATGGGCTGTATCCAGGCCTAAGAACAGCCCTTAGCCGTGGCCATATACCACACCTCTGGCCTTGTTGCTTAAGTATAATGTGTGTAGTCCCGTGTAGCTCAGTTGGTAGAGCATGGCGTTTGCAACGCCAGGGTTGTGGGTTCGTTTCCCATGGGGGACCAGTATGATGAAAAAAATTGGGGGAAAATGTATGCACTCACTAACTGTAAGTCGCTCTGGGTAAGAGTGTCTGCTAAATGACTAAAATGTAATGTTTTGTGGGTCTCCAGACACCTCAGTCCCTCCAGTGTGGGGTGTGTCTGCAGCTGGTTCGGAGGGACGCCCTGCTCGCGCTGCCCTGCCAACACTCCTTCTGCAAAGCATGCTGGGAGCAGCATTGCACTGTACTCGTCAAAGATGGGATGGGAGTGGGTAAGCAGCACTGCTAGGGCTGATACAACCTATCAAAGTGTTTAGAAGTCAGGAGCTGGCTGTTCCTTTGAAGATAGTGACATGATAGGCTTTGAAGATGACCCCTGGTGGGATATTTATTTACCAGTATTTGATAGCCTTTATGTGCAGTCAGATTCAGATGTCTTTGTACCTTAGATGTTTTGGTATTCCATTTGTCTTGTTTAAAAAACAAAACATGCATGTGTTTCTCCAGATCTTGTTTTTTTAATGCTCTGGGTGTATGCATCATCTTCAAATCTTATGTGTTTGTGCGTGCAGGTATCTCCTGTATGGCTCAGGATTGTTCCCTCCAAATTCCCGAGGACTTTGTTCTCCCGCTACTGCCTGGTGAAGAGCTGAAGGACAAATATAGACGCTACCTCTTCAGGGACTATGTGGAGGTATGAGTCTTTGCCTGTCCTTCTGGTGGTCTGTCTGGCAGCTTGTTGGTGCTTCTCTCTCTGTCTGTCTGCCCTCTTTCTATTGGTCTCTCCCAGTTTCCCTTTGTCTCTCCCTGCACCTTTTGTTATTGGACAGCAAACAGTGAAAAATCACACTGTCAGCATACACTGTTAATCATTATTTTTTTACAATCAACCTCTTAATATCTGTCATTCAGCTAATGTGTTCATGTTTATCAGGTGCTCTAAAGCTACTGAACATGTCAGTAAGGCCCAGTCTCTAGAACTGCCGGTAAGGCCCAGTGGGTCTCTAGAACTGCCGGTAAGGCCCAGTGGGTCTCTAGAACTGCCGGTAAGGTCCAGTGGGTCTCTAGAACTGCCGGTAAGGCCCAGTGGGTCTCTAGAACTGCCGGTAAGGCCCAGTCTCTCTCCTTCCTTCAGAGCCACTTCCAGCTGCAGCTGTGTCCAGGGGCAGACTGCCCCATCGTCATCCAAGTGCAGGAGCCACGGGCCCGCAGAGTACAGTGCATCCGCTGCAATGAGGTCTTCTGGTGAGACACGCACAGATGCCCGCACATACAGCTCTTACACACAGATTAATGCACAAGGTGTCAAATGAATGTGCATCATGTCAGATGAACATATGCACCAGTCATGATCATATCATTGACTCCCTGCGGATGCCCTTTTTAATGTTTCTCTCTACCCCCGCCCTCAGTTTCAAATGCCGGATCATGTACCACGCCCCAACAGACTGCCCAACCATCCGAAGGTGGCTAACCAAATGTGCAGACGATTCAGAGACCGCCAACTACATCAGTGCACACACTAAAGATGTAAGACTGCGCACACACACACACAATTTAAAGTATTTGTGATTTTACAATATTTTCCTTTGCTTTTGTCCATAATGTTTAATAGTATGTATTTTTCAGTGTCCTAAGTGTAATATCTGCATTGAGAAGAATGGAGGCTGCAATCACATGGTGAGTGGGAATGGAATCCAGCATTATCTCAAGGTTATGCCAACTATGGGCACATTGACATTTGTATTAGTGTTCTCTAAATCTCTGGCACTTTTAAAGGAAATTCAAACTATACATGTTCTTTATATTGTCTCTATTTAATCAGGCTCTAAATGAATCAGACAGCTAGCTAGACAACTGCAGGACAACCTCTATCTTATGACATCAGAATTATTCAAATACAATTTGCCCAACTAGAATTCCCCTTAAGAGAGAGACTGCCTACTGCTTTCTTGCTGAGCTATAAGCTGAAGATTTCAGTAATGCTTTAGCTCCTGTCTTTATTCAGACCAGGCACTTTGGTGAAATACTAATTGATTCTGAAGTCATTGAATGATATTATATGTAATGTTAGTGGTAATTCAGAGCTGCTATATAACTGACGTTGCGTTTCCTCTGTCTGTTTCAGCAATGCTCCAAGTGCAAACACGGTATGTATCCAATTATACTGCTACTTACAGCTTTACATGATTATCATTTTTTGTCAGTTCAACTGACTCCAGCCATATGTAACCCATTTTGACAATGATATCATATTGTTTTTCCGCTAATGGCAGCATCACTGTGTGTGCGTGTGTGTAGACTTCTGCTGGATGTGTCTGGGGGACTGGAAAACCCATGGCAGTGAGTACTATGAGTGCAGTCGCTACAAGGAGAACCCAGACATCGTCAACCAGAGCCAGCAGGCACAGGCCAGAGAGGCCCTTAAGAAATACCTCTTCTACTTTGAAAGGGTGAGATGTATTCAAACACTGCGTACACACAAACATGCTACTATCTGACAGGAACATATGCCAGTCAAACTTCTGCTCACACTATGAGTATTATGTGGAATTAAGTTAACCTTTCTGAAGTATCAAGCTGTGTAATGTAAATAATGACATGAACTACATCAAATAACTGCGTTGCCAGAGTAACCGTGTCAATCAGGTGACCTGTGGTTTGTTTAGTACTTGGCTGTAATGTCAGCCAGAGCCATATATTTAGAATAAAATAAGAAAATATTATACTAATATATACTGTGCACTTTCAAGGATAGTATATACATGCATGTTCCTCAGTCACATACTTACACAGAAGTAGTCTTCACATTATCTCTTGTACTTTTAGATTACGGAAACTCAATCTCCCATACATGTTCAATAACAAATCTGTGAATGTTACAAGCAACGACACCATGTCGAATTAACACTGAGATCCCTCTCAGAATCACCCAGAACATGTCTGTCATGTTTTCTTACTGTTTCTCCAGTCCAGACTGTGACCGTGTGTTTGTGTCTCTTTAGTGGGAGAACCACAATAAGAGTCTGCAGCTGGAGGCTCAGACCTACCAGCGGATCCAGGAGAAGATCCAGGAGCGGGTGATGAACAACCTGGGCACCTGGATAGACTGGCAGTACATGCAGAATGCTGCCAAGCTGCTGGCCAAGGTACTACTGCCCCTGCCTGCCTCAGTCACACACAAAAAACACACATTAACAAGGGAATGTATAGGGCTTTTCACACTACAAATTAGTATGTATCCGAGCCAGCAGTTTGGTTCAGGTTGGTATAATGGTGTGAAAGTAGTATCTGTGTACTTATTTGACCTACTACGCTGTGCTTAAACCAATAGCAAGTCATGCTTATCTCTTATGTTTGTCCCACAGTGTCGCTACACACTGCAGTATACTTACCCCTACGCCTACTACATGGAGTCTGGTCCTCGCAAAAAACTGGTGAGAATTGTGTCTGTGTGCCTGTCTTGTTCTGTGTGTCTGTAGTATAAGCTAACAAAGTCTTAATATATAGGCTATATTAAATATATCTAGTCAAATGCTAATGATCTATATTATAATACCGTAAGCCACTTAACTGCGGGGGGATCTCCCCTTACAATTTAGCGCTGATTTATAAGGGGAAGAAAGCACGTCGTCCTGTTACATGCCACTGGCCACTTTATATTCCACTGTGTTTTGTATTTTTGTTTATTTTCCCGGTTTTTGTGTTTTCAGAATGTTCGTTGCTGTGGGAGATCGTGCTGTCACAATGCATATGATGTAGGCAATTGTAGGCCAATTTGGAAACTGTAGAATGACTACATTACCCATAATACTCTGACTGAACATTCCAAATTACCATGGCAATTATGCTGCGTTCAGTTGCTAGTCGGAAATAAGAAACTCAGAAATTTGACTTGGAAACTAGTTGTAGAAGCAAACTGTTTCCCACTTGAAAGTACCAAAATCAACCAATAGGACGCTCTATGCAAATAACTTACATTCATTTGAACTCGGAGGTTCTGAGTTTCCGATAGCACGTGAATGCAGCATTATGCATCACAATAGTGAACCAAGGCAGTTATTCATCACAATAGAACTTATATTTCTATTGTGTAGGGCAGGCCAGTAACCTTTGCAACCAAATTATTTTACTGTGCCCGGCCGCATAGACATTTTATGGTCACACAAGGTGCCACCTGGGGATTCAAAATAAGTAGCCTAATTATTTACATGGACACAATTGCTTTAAAAAAATTAATAGGAGAGGGGAATTCCACTCTCACATTTTTCAAGCTTTTATTTAGACAGATTATAAATTACAAGGGGATACAGAGGTAAATATGGGAGAAGGTGGAGAGGGTCAACTTGGAGATTGAACCCCAGTCTCTGGCGGGGAGTCACATATGTGTTGAGAGCTGGGAGAGTTACCACTCAGCCACGGCTCTGTACGACCACTTACATTTGTAACCAAATAATTTTTCAGCATTGCACACACAGGATGACATTTAGTAGTGTGCAAAATAACCATAACATTTTAAAATAAACGTGAAGTTGCGAATAGCTTATTAGCAGCATGAATTTGTGCTTTGCGGGGGGGGGGGGGGGGGGTTATTGAGTGAACGATAATGTGATGGTTGCAGTCCACAAAGATGAAATTGCATTGAATCGAATTGATCAGATCCATAAATTTACAAGCAGGGTGCTGCTAGTTGCTGATGATGATATGTCATAAGTAACAAACATGCTGTCTGTAATGATTGTGTTTTTCTGTCCTATTCAGTTTGAGTACCAGCAGGCCCAGCTGGAGGCAGAGATTGAGAACCTGTCCTGGAAGGTGGAGCGAGCAGACAGCTACGAGAGAGGGAGTGAGGGGGAGCTGAGCGCCAATGACAGAGGGGTAAGGAAGAGGTCAAAGAAAGATGGGGGTTTGGGAGGTGGGTGGGGATATGGATATTAAGGTTTCCAGATTGGGACTTGCATTGGCTGGGAGCACAGGGGAGTTGAGGGGTATTGGCATGTCTTGGGAAATCGGAAGGACCCAAATAATGTTGCATCGTATTAGTTTATTAGACCATTGTGTGAAGTATTTAACTCATTAGTCATTCATGACACACTGTTTCTCTCAGGATCTGGAGAATCAGATGCACATTGCTGAGCAGAGGAGACGCACGCTGCTGAAGGATTTTCATGACACCTGAAGTCTCCATCCTACTGCAAAGCACCAGCAGCTCCCTCCTTCACCTTCCATCCCTTTGTCCACAGATCCCTCACTCATCCCTTCCTCCATACCTCCCTCATTAAGTGCTCTATTTGTCTGCTACAGGGTCTCAGAATGGCACGATTGTACCCCCCCCCCATTTAGATCTGTTGTCAACAATGCCACATTCATACACACTACACCTTGAAATGAGAAAGCATGCTCATGCTCGCGCACACATGTACACACAAACATGCTCAAACACTCCTCAAAATAAAACATGAATTGTTCATTTGCCTCCCATGCAGTCCCACCATCCCTCTACCTTTCTTTTCATATTGTTCACCTTTTTCTGGAAATGGCTGTTGATAGTTAGATCGTTTAAAGAAACTGAAAAGAAAAAAATGCTGTAATTTTCAACAGTTGTACATTAATACAGATAGTTACTGAGTTTTTAAACCAGATTTTGTTTCTTGTGTATTAATTATCACACAAACACACACACCAATGTAAGAGTTTGCAAGAGCGCAGAAACACACTGGCACCCAGGCTAGGTTCACCAGCTGTGGTGTGGATGTGTTGACATTTACATTTTAGTCATTTAGCAGACGCTCTTATCCAGAGAGACTTACAGTTAGTGAGTGCATACATTTTCATACTGGCCCCCCGTTGACCCAGATCTTTGACTCAGAACTTTAGCAGATAACCTTTTACTCTCAGAGACTCTTAACTTTAGGACTCATGTTGCTCAGATTACAGATCACACACTCAACACTTCAGATGTGTTAAAATGTTCCGAAACCCTCTGACCTTCCAACACAAACAGTAGGCCTCCACAATGCATTCATTTCGACACAGCCTCTTAACAAGAGCTGCAGCATAGTTACTGCTTATTCTGGTCAGTATAATATAATAATAATGCCATTTAGCAGACACTTTATCCAAAGCGACTTATTTTATTTTAATTTTTTGTCATTTAGCAGACGCTCTTATCCAGAGCGACTTACAGGAGCAATTAGGGTTAAGTGCCTTGCTCAAGGGCACACCGACAGATTTTTCACCTAGTTGGCTCAGGGATTAGAACCAGCGACATTTCGGTTACTGGCACAACGCTCTTAACCACTAAACTATCTGCTATGTCCAAATATAGGCAGCATCATATGCCAGATGTAACTGATTTAATGCCCTCTGTCCTTTTACGTGTGCATACTGGTGGGAGGTCCGTAGACATTAAATAGGGGAGCTCACAGGGTGACATTCACCGCGCCCTCTCGAGTACACTTGATGAACTGCAAGATTGAGCATAGGGCGGAGTTAGGCCCGGTCCCGGAAATGACGCATGATCAGGTTGGAGGGATTTATTTGTCGTGACGGAAAAAAGGTCAGATGAACTAGTGATGGGAAGTTCGGCTCTTTTTACTGACTCGGATCTTTTCGAGTCGTTCAGTCAAAAGAACGAATCTTTCGATTCATTTCGTTCATTTGAGTCAGTGCTACCCAAATAATCATGATTCTACAAGCTTCTGTTCATATGTGCTTCACCATAGGGGGCTTATTGGCAGTAGCGGTGCTTGGGTAAAATCACTGGGGAAGCACTGGAGAATTGTGTTATTTGCTCTATAACCTGTTCATTCATATGCCTTGCGACCGTGATATATACAGTTGAAGTCGGAAGTTTACATACACCATAGCCAAATACATGTACACTCAGTTTTTCACTATTCCTGACATTTAATCCTAGTAAAAAAGTCCCTGTCTTAAAATAAAGTGGTGATCCTAACTGTTCTAAGAATGTGAAATGTCAGAATAATAGTAGACATAATTATTTATTTCAGCTTTTATTTATTTCATCACATTCCCAGTGGGTTAGAAGTTTACATACACTCAATTAGTATTTGGTAGCATTGCCTTTAAAATTGTTTAACTTGGGTCAAACGTTTTGGGTAGCCTTCCACAAGCTTCCCACAATAAGTTGGGTGAATTTTGGCCCATTCCTCCTGACAGAGCTGGTGTAACTGAGTCAGGTTTGTAGGCCTCCTTGCTCGCACACGCTTTTTCAGTTCTGCCACAAATGTTCTATAGGATTGAGGTCAGGGCTTTGTGATGGCCACTCCAATACCTTGACTTTGTTGTCCTTAAGCCATTTTGCCACACTTTGGAAGTATGCTTGGGGTCATTGTCCATTTGGAAGACCCATTTGCGACCAAGCTTTAACTTCCTGACTGATGTCTTGAGATGTTGCTTCAATACATCCACATAATTTTCCTTCCTCATGATGCCATCTATTTTGTGAAGTGCACCAGTCCCTCCTGCAGCAAAGCACCCCCACAGCAAAGATGCTGCCACCCCCGTGCTTCACAGTTGGGATGGTGTTCTTCTGCTTGCAATTTTCCCCATTTTTTCCTCCTAACATAACGATGGTCATTAGGGCCAAACAGTTCTATATTTGTTTCATCAGACCAGAGGACATTTCTCCAAAAAGTACGATATTTGTCCCCATGTGCAGTTGCAAACCGTAGTCTGGCTTTTTTATGGCGGTTTGGGAGCAGTGGCTTATTCCTTGCTGAGTGGCCTTTCAGGTTATGTCGATATAGGACTCGTTTTACTGTGGATTTAGATACTTTTGTACCTGTTTCCTCCAGCATCTTCATAAGGTCCTTTCCTGTTGTTCTGGGATTGATTTGCACCAACCAAAGTACGTTCATCTCTAGGAGACAGAATGCGTCTCCTTCCTGAGCGGTATGACGGCTGTGTGGTCCCATGGTGTTTATACTTGCGTACTATTGTTTGTACAGATGAACGTGGTACCTTCAGGTGTTTGGAAATTGCTCCCAAGGATGAACCAGACTTGTGGAGGTTTTGGCTGATTTTTTATTTTTTTCCCATGATGTCAAGCAAAGAGGCAATGAGTTTGAAGGTAGGCCTTGAAATACATCTACAGGTACACCTCCAATTGACTCAAATGATGTCAATTAGCCTATCAGAAGCTTCTAAAGCCATGACATCATTTTCTGGAATTTTGCAAGCTGTTTAAAGGCACAGTCAACTTAGTGTATGCAAACTTCTGACCCACTGGAATTGTGATACAGTGAATTTTAAGTGAAATATTCTGTCTGTAAACAATTGTTGGAAAAATTACTTGTGTCATGCACAAAGTAGATGTCCTAATCGACTTGCCAAAACTATAGTTTGTTAACAAGAAATGTGTGGAGTGGTTGAAAAACGAGTTTTAATGACTCCAACCTAAGTGTATGTAAACTTATGACTTCAACTGTAGACCTAAAGGCCGAGACAAGAAGACAGTGGCAGAATAAATTCAACCACATCTTTGATTTATCACAAAACCGGATAGCAACCTCAGTGAAGTCCACAAAGCATATTGCATGTACAGTAACAGACCTACAGCATGGTCAAGCAAGTTAATTTCCAACATTTTCAGACCACTAAACAACTATTGATTTAGAATACCAGAGTTACCGCAAGTCACAATGAAAACAGGAGCTGCCTCTACTATTCCAGCACCATTTTAATTTCAACATCATCAACTCACCACTGCTTAGTCTAATACAGTGACAACTAAAATATACCAAAAACTATTTAGTCCAATCAACGTAAGCTAAATATGTGACTGTCCATGGTTCTGATTTCTGTATGTGCGCGTTCGTGCAAGTAGAAAATCATATACTCACCCTACTTGTAGAGAAACGCCAATGCCATCCTCCTCTCTTTCATGTTGACGAAAAACAGTCTATCACGCTGTCATACAGTACACACTTTTATTTTTTGTTGTCCTAGGCTACCTGGCTAAAATGCTTGCTCGCTAGCCTAACTTCCATTCATGGGCAACGTTAACTAGTTAACATTCGCCTTCTACATCTAGCTACATATTGAACTTCCATCCTCTCAGGCCAGGGGCACAACAATGTATGAATGAATGGTTGGATCAGGATCGCCTTTATAATCATTGGCCAGTACGGAAAACCACAAGTCCAAATCCCTATCTCCATCCATGGCTAATTTAGATGAGGGCCAATTTTAGCTAGCTAGCTAGCCACCGGAGGACAACAACACAACAAGATTCAACAATTCAAGTTTTTCTGTCAATGAGGTATGCTCTCAATGGGATTTGATAGGAGTGACGCCAAAATCCAAGCTGGCTTCCCTTTACACTTTTTTTTGGTCCAGGACCATTCACAGTTGAGCTCACTCAGTTCAGCACAATGCTGATTGGCTATTTTTTAAATACCTTTTTTTTAAATCAAGGGAGGCCAAATGCTCGCTGGCTTCCCTTGCGTTCAATGCTACGGCGGGAACAATGTCATACTCGTTTGGACCAGACAGCATCAGATAGATGGCCTACACGTAGCGAGACAGAGGGGCGCTATTTCGCTCGCTCGGATGCCTTCTCCTGTGAGATACATTCAGCCTCTTGCGAATTGAAGGAAAATTATGAAACAGACATTAAATATATATTATTTTATGTATTTTAATTTTTTTTCTTGGTCATTTTTTTGGGGGAAGCCTGACTTCCCTTGGCATCCATGAATACACGCCACTGCTTATTGGAGCTGTCATTTGTGACACTTGTTAAAAGTGTGCTTTAAACAGTGGTGTAAAGTACTTAAGTAAAAATACTTTAAAGTACTACTTAAGTAGTTTTTTTTGGTATCTGTACTTTACTTTACAATTTTATATTTTTGTCTACTTTTACTTTTACTTCACTACATTCCTTAAGAAAATATTGTGATTTTTACTCCATTCATTTTCCTTGACACCCAAAAGTACTCCTTACATTTTGAATGCTTAGCAGGACAGGAAAATAGTCCAATTCACGTTCACGTACATATAAACCGAACATCGCTGGTCATCCCTACTGCCTCTGATCTGGTGGACTCACTAAACACACATGCTTCGTTTGTAAATTATGTCTGAATGTTGGAGTGTGCCCCTGGCTTTCCATTAATTAAAAAAAACTAGAAAATGGTGCCATCTGGTTTGCTTAATATAAGGAATTTGAAATGATTCATACTTTTACTTTTGATACTTAAGTACATTTTAGCAATTACATTTACTTTTGATACTTAAGTACATTTTAAACCAAATACTTTTAGACTTTTACTCAAGTAGAATTTTACTGGGTGACTTTGGCTTTTACTTGAGTCATTTTCTACTAAGGTATCTTTACATTTACTCAAGTATGACAGTTGGGTACTTTTTCCACCACTGGCTTTAAACAATGTACATTTGTTGATTGCTAGGCATACAAATAAGATTATTTCTTGA